GCGGGTCAGGCGCGCGCAGGCGGGGCGCGGGCAGGCGGCGCGGCCGTTTATTGCAGTCCGTGGCTGTACAGCGGCGGCGGGCCCGGGCCGCGCCTCACACGTAGCCCGGCTTCAGCGAGGAGCGGCGGCAGTTGGGGCAGCCCCGCGTGCCGTTGGTCTGCAGGCACCTGCAAAGCAAGGGGCTCGTTGCGCGGGCGGCCGGCGCCGCAGCCGCCTCCGCTGGTGCTGGCCACGACCCCCTGGAAACGGGTCCGCACAGCCCGGGACGGGGACCTGCCTTTCCCACCGCCTCCAGGGAGCCTTCCTGCAAGTGCATCTGTGGGAAGGGCCGAGTGCTGCCTGCCTGGGCTGGGCACGGGGTYGGGCCTGCCCTGGTGGCTGCTCCTAGTTGGGTGTCGGGTCCGAGGGTGTATTTTTAAGTGTGTAAACCCTTAGTGTTCAGTGTTTTGTTATGCTCATGCCATTTCTCCTAGCAGTAAAAAATGATCTTAGCACAGCTAACTTAGTACAGCTAGCTTATTCCATGGCAGCCGTACAGTAACCCAGTGAACACCCTATTCAGTTCAGAAATAGAAAGTATGGGATGCTCAAGGAAAGAGGTGGAAAATACCCAAGTGCCTGCAGCCCTGCAGAATTGAAACCCCAAGAGAAATTAAAGATGACAAGACCCTTGGCCCTTAAGCACCGGCAAAGCCAGGGCATTAGTGAACAACCCTTTGGAGGCCAGAAGGGGGAGTGGGATGGACGTTCTGTGCAAATCCTGCACTTACAGGCCTCGGGATTCAAGACACAGGGTGGTGGGATGTGGCTGGTGGGGGCAGGCAGGGCAAGGGCCAGCTGCAAGGCTGTCCTACACTGGACACGAGTAGCTCGTGACAAGGAGCCCGCGCTCGCCCCAGCGCATTACTTTAAATGGAAGACGTGGGAGCAAGGCAGCGCCTGGAGCTGGTTGTTCCTCTCGCCGATGGACTCGCCGCACATGCCRCAGTAGAGCTCCATCTCCTCCACGCACTCGTGGAACTTCACCACGTGGTCGCGCAGCTCTCGCTGCTGCCCCTTCGCGCGGTAGATCCGCTCGCACAGGCAGTGGAGCTTCAGCAGGCCAAGCTGCGCATAGAGGGCGGAAACAGGAGAGAAGTGAACGACGAGGTGGACGCAGACGTGGGGGAAGGAGCAGACAGCGCTCCCAGGAGCCCCGTGCAGCCCTGCCAGCTGGGCTAGAGCTCCGTAGATCCACAGAGCATAGAAAGCTGCCCGAGGGACARGATCGGTCATGGGAACATTGAGATCTGAGTACTTTGTGCCATTAACCCCTCTATCACACAAGAGGATCCCAGATTTGAGGCACTGTAGTTTTTTCATCCCAGTGAATGAAATCCCATCCTTCATCCCCACAGCCATCCCTGAGAAATACAGTGGGGATGCTGCTTAARCCAATGGTATTCTTCAAGGAGCAGACCGTTAATCCTCTTCGGTTGTTTCATGCCCCATTTTTACTGCTCCCACTCCCATGTTTGTCTCACTTGGACTCCTCCTACTCTTTTCAGACTTTCACACTGATCATTACCCGTGCAACTCCCCACAACTAAGAACTTCACAGTTAAACAAGTCCCAAGCACCAACTGGTTTGTATGGACGGGGTAACAAGCACTACCAAATACGTACACTAACACTTCTCAATTTGCCTGAAAAGGCTACAGACACTGCTGAAGGGAAGCTGTGGGATCCTACCTTGTTCCCTAGTCCCTCTGCCAGCTCCTGAGCCTTTTCAATGTTTTCCAGAGCCTGTGAATGGAGAGCACACACTATCAGTTCTCAGTCTGATATATCAAAAACACACTTGTATGAATAACATGACAGCACTCAAAGGGAAGAGGTACAGAGTAGCATTTGGATAAAAAAGCATCCCTGCAGCTCTGATGGGTATTCCCGCACACAAGCTCATCCCTAAGAAGAGCTTAGTTTCTGAAAGATCACAAATCTTTCAGAAAATAGAGCTACATTTCTATTCCAAGCACACAACACAGRGTATGGCAGAGGGAGGATACAGACTTATTTAAATTCAACTGCACATCAGGTCATGAGGGTTGGGATGGAGCACAAGCAAAGCAAACATTGTTCCCTTTGCACACCACAGGCTCAGCAATCTTGGGGCAACTTCAGTTCCAATTTCACTTGTACAAGAGGGGAGGAGAGGGATCAGCACRACCAGCACACTGTGTTCTATTTTGTCCTACTGTCCACATGTCCCCTTAGTCCTACATCACACTGTGTGTAAGTAGGACAGTGTTGCCATCCATCTTTTCCAGTCTGAAGGAAAAGTATTAGGTCTAGCACCTGTCAAACTATGTGAGTCCCTACTTTTCCCAAAGGTGAGAGCATCTCTTACTGCTCTGTAACCTGGTATCACTGCCATGCTGCGAGAAGAGGACCTCATGAGGTGGGAGAGTGTGCTCTGAAAACAGGGGAGATGGCATTAGACCTGTCGTGACAGCAATAGTCTGGGGCAAGGAACTTACAGAACAAGGAAGCAGRAATTGAAAGGTACAGGGGAGAAAAGAACAGAGAACAGCCAAGAGCAACTGGAAAACCCTGAAATTAAATACTGGGTATAGGCTCAAAGTGATGSAAGAAGCATGTGGGGTTGGGAAGAAACGCTGTGAAGTCCAGGGGATATTTTTCCTGAGAAAAGAATGCAAGGAGTGCACGGAGTTTGGAAAAGCAGGTTATGGTGGGATMCTGGGAGGAATAGGGATAGTGCAGATTACACAACCTGAATGGAACCGAAAGGAAGGTGGGACAAGCTGGCCAAGCAGACTTGGGAGATACAGGAGGCTAGAGAGAAATGCAGTCTGAGAGTGGAAAGCTAGAAAGCTGCTTTATTAGGTAACTAGTGTTGGGATGAGTGGCATGAGAAATGGAAATTGGGACTGGCAAGCTAAGGAGCAGACTGGGGCAAGTGCTCAGGGCTGTGACCCTCGAGGAGGTTTCATTTGAGAAAATGTGAGTAAGAGTCCTTGACTACCAGGGCAGACTTCCCTCTAATGCCTGCACAGAACCAGAGATTCACACGTTTGTTCCTTTTTGTGAAATCAGGACTCTGCCACCAGGCTCTCTGCGCTGAAAATTGCTTGTGATACCTGAGGCTGTCAATGGATAGAGATGGGATTGGGGGATCCAAGAAGCAGGTGAATGTTCTGAGGTGATGCAGAATATTCTCTTACTTATAGGTCCACTTGCTGTGTCTTACCCTTTTGTTTTTAGGAATTTGATGCCATGCCTCTTTGCAAAGCACGTGGTGGAGCCACAGAGCTGCCTTATCATCATTATCACACTAATGAGCCTAGTTATTTAGCTAAAAGGTAGGCAGTGGGACCTATTTCAGAGCATAAGCATAAGCTGATTGTCTAAAACGCAGGAAGAGACTTCCTTCCTCCTGGTACCCGCTTCTCAGCGGGGCGTTTAAGCCTTCAGGACTGACTAATGACCCAGTCACCGGTCTGACCCAGGATGGGATGTTCACCCTGTGAGTAACAGATTCCTCGCCAAGAGACGAGTGTCACTGTGCGAGTAACGGCCGCTGCTGGTAGGAGGAAGGGGTGGATGGGCACGAAGCTCAGAGACCGCACGCCCTAGCGCTCCCATAGAGGCAGCTCCTAACTGACCTTCTCCAGCTCCTTCCGGATCATCCAGCATTTAGCGACTCCAAGCAGCACCTGGACCTGTCCCAGGCGATTCCCAATCTCTGTCATGATGCTCATGGAGGAATCGTACCGAGGAAAGGCAGTCTGCAGAGGCAGGGAGGAAACACGCTGTGCCGGGGCCTGCCCTCCCTTCGCTGCTGCCCTCGCCCGGCGGGAAGGGTTTCTACCTGCACGTCTCTGCGGCTGCGGTGGATGTCGGCGAAGCAGAGCAGACACAGCGCCTGCAGGGGCCGGTCGCCGTGCTGCAGGGCGATCTTCATGGACTCCTGCAAGGAAGCACCTGGGGCAGCAAAAGAGCAGGCTCCTGCTCCAGAGCAAAGAGCGGCTGCCAGYGGGGGCTGTAAGCGCTGAAGCCACTGAGGGGGCAGCTCCAGAGAAATGCCGCCCTCTCCATAAAGGAGGTGAGGTCTTGTTCACACCCCCCCAGTCAGAGGCCGTTTACAGGCCCACACTTCAGCGACTGGCTCCCGGGAGCAGCAGCCCCAGGCCTGGCAGGCAGCAGAACACCTGGCGTGGGGGATCCGGCCGCCGTGTCCCCGTTCCCCGCGCGCCCGCCCGCTACCTCACAGCAGTCCATGGCGTCGGCCAAGCGGCCCAGCTGCCGGTACGCCACGGCCATGTGGTACTGGCTCATGGCGCGGTACTTCAAGCTCCAGCCCGCCCCGTAGTCGCTCACCAGCTCCGCTGCTTTGC